TCAAGAAAGTATTTGACTTCTTCTGTTATGCATTATCTTTACAAGGACCAAATCAGACCAGAAATGGAGTATTGCTGCCATATCTGGGAAGGAGCTGCACAATCATCACTTCCCAGCCATGACAGAGTTCAAAAGTGTTTATGCTGCCTTGTAGGTGGTGAATTATTTTTCATCTTAAAACCCCTTTCCTACAGATGAACTTTTGGCACAAGTGTAAAATATGCAGGTATCTTAGCCACAAAGTGAACCCTTTATTTTGTCCACTGAGGTAGATTGTTCCATGTGCCATGTCTCTTCTAGATATCTCAGTTATCTCCCCTTAACTCAACACTCCAATTTAATATTTATTGACCAAACAGCCAGTGCTAATTGTGCTTGAATTTATAAACAATCTTTCAGGAAAATATGTTTCTCTAGTTCACTGTTGTCACTTTTTCTAGTATCAATGGGAGTTTCCTTTCTAACTTTTTGTTTGAAGTAGTGTAGAACTACCATGCCATGTAACACTGAGAAGAATCATTCTTATTCCCTTTAAATTCCATTGACAAGGAGGAAGTATAAGAATTGTCATTTTGTGAAACAGACTCCCAAAAGAATGCTTCCCCAATCACTACAATTTTAATCTCTTCAAGTCTAGAGTCAACCATTATCTATCCTAAATATCATAATATGCCCCTCTTACTTCCTCTTTGCATGCTCTTATAACAATCTCATTTAGTAACCCTCTACTCTGAGTGGCTTTTAGGCCTTGTATTGAGTGAACAATTGTATTAAAAAAAAAAATGTAGTTAACATGCAATTTTTGCATGCTATTATCAGTTTAATCCTGGGTATTCCACTTCTTTATAATACAAGGCAAAGCTTTGTTAACATATACCAGGTGTAACAGCAAAATTGTCCAATTGTAAAATTAAGCTCTGAATCGTATCTTAGAAATGATTAAAGATATCTTACTGGAATTCTCCAAGGTCTTTTTAACACTATTGAGCTCTAATTTGAGCAATAAGAATGTATAATTACTCTCTAAGCTTAACAGAAGTATCGTGATGAAATTGATCATAAACGAAAATTACATGTTCATAATTAATGAATTATAGCTAAGGATAGGAAGCCCATGAAGGATTGAAATTAAGTTCAAATATATATATATATATATATATATATATATATATATATATATATATATATATATATATATATATATTCCAGGATCATTTTCCAACTTATTCAAGATGATCTTCACCCTTTCTAATCTTCTAACTTTCTGTCCTTAAATAACAAGGTGTCTCACAGGTTTCATGTACGATTCCATTTTCAAGTCTTTTCACTGCTCTTTGGACTGTCACAGCTGAAACTCCTTTCTCACGTGCCAAACATCTTATGGATTGAGTTGGATTTTCTAATTGATTTGTTTAGCTCTAATTGAAATGATGATCCCTCTTGCTGTAGGGACTGCCTGATCCAATTTTCTTCTTTACTGTTTCCTCTTTTTTGAACTTATTCACCATTCTCTTGATGGTTCTTGAATAGACTTTGAAGATAGAATCCAGAGTATGAATGTTGGTACCATTACTGAAGGCCTGAATGATCTTTTTCCTCTCACCATTGCTCAGTTGGGAAGAGAGCGAGTCTTACATAAAACAATTTTAACCTGCTGTCTGTTTAGCTGAATAACTCAAAGGGTCTTTCAGTAATTGTGTAAAGATGGCTAAACATCTTATCTGAAAACATGGTAAAGAGAAAATCAATTAATTTAATCATTTTTTTTTAGATATTAAACATTTTGTGGGATGGACAATTATGCTGTTACATGATTTGGACAATTTTGCTGTTACACTTGGTACACTTATCTTTTGGAAGATTAAAGTGCTGATTTAAGTACCATATTTTCTGGCTTACAAGTCGTCATGACTCAAAAGATGCACCCTAATATTGGAAAGAAATTTCTAAGGAAAAAAAAGTCATTCTCATACAACAACACATTCACCATGCATCCCTCACATACTGGTGCCACGTATTGTTTACATTAATCACTCATCCAATTTTGTTTGGATGGCAATGACATGTTAGTCAAGAGCAGAAAGGCTCCTGCTGCTGCTAGTAAACAGAGCATATTTAAGATTGTGGCTTGACTCCAGGAAGGTTAATTTTCTTGGAAATACTTGTATCAGCTATGTACTGAGGTTACATCATATAAAAGGCTGAATTAGATAGATAGCTAGGTATATTCAGTAACCTTGTAAGTTTGAACTGAACTTTTTATTTAAAAAATTCAGTTCAAAATTATAATGTCACTGAGTATACTTAATTTTATTCAATAATGATAATTCCTCATCTTAAAAATTCCAATATAAATAATATCAGTAAATATATCGAATTGTCGACATCAAATGATACAAAAATATTTCTCATTGTCAAAGCACTTAATAAAGTGAATATGAATTACACAGTCAAAATTTTACATCAAAATAAAGCTAATAAATATATGTTAAGCTACATTCTTTTTGATCCACTCTTGCAGACCTTTGATTGCACTCACTGCTTTGTGGAACTGACTCCCAAGAGGATGCTTCCTCAATCACTACAACCATAACCTGTTCAATTGAGGATCAAATGGTTATCTTTCCCACATAACCCTATAAACTGTGTTTCTTACTCTGTAATCCTCTACCACAAACAGATGCTTTGTGGAACCAAAGTTTCCCTGATCACTAAATCGTAACGTATTTTATGGAGATATGTGGTGAAGATAATGGTCGACTCTAGACACTTCCCCACATAACTCCATAAACTTTGCCACTTACTCTGTAACCCTCTACCTCGAGTGACTCTTGGGCCTTGTGCAGCTTGAATATCTGTTTTCTTCTATGAACATTCTTTAAATACACTGATTTTATTTAATAATAATTTTGAAATAGATGCAACAAAAACTGACTAAAACATGTTTTTCGTTTCACATCAAGGGAAAAGAACTAAAGTGAATAGACCATGTATATGCATTAAATGAACAAATACCATTTTGTATCGATTCACTCCAGAATTTAACCCCCTTTTCTTTATCTCTGTTGAAAAAAAAAACAAAAAAAAACATCATTTATATGTATTTTACAGAATCTAACAAAAAGTCACACCTTACCAACATTATTGTTTGCTGAAATGCAATAGATATTTTCAGAAGTAAAATCATTTGATAGAGTAATTTCAATAATCAAAATAAAAACGTATCTGAACCAGAATGTCTTCCTAAAAGAGCATAAAAAGAAATTACATATTTTTAAAAGATTTCATAAGATTAATTTCATGAGGGAAAATCAATAAAATGAATATACTGAAACATTAATTTAGAATTAAAGTAATGATCTTATATGATACATCATTTCATTCCTGTCTAAATGCAACTGCTTGACATCAATAAGCATTTTAATAACTAAATGAATTTTTCTAATAATTTCTGAATTCAGTAATTTCACTTAACTTATTGTTAACATGAAGCATTGAAAATAGAATATAATCTCCTGATTTCAGATTTCTAAAGGTCCTACAGAGTAATCCATAAAGAACAGATTTTACAACTGTGAAAATTAATGATTTTACTTAATTTGCACACTAAGTGTTTCCTCTTATATAACTCAGTTATTATAAAACAGGCTGTTTGTATAATACATGTAATCATGAGCACCTAATTTGGCTGAACCCATAGACATCTAGAGTATAGAATCACAACTTCATCATGGTAATGCTGCAATAGTTTTAGTCATAAGTCAATTTCTATGGGTTGGAGTTGCTAGTTAATCTGACTAACCTTCAGAGAATTTTGAACTGAACCCTTTATTTATGAAATTTTTTGAAAATCACCCGAAGAAGGCTGAATGGCTCAATGGTCAAAATATGATAACACCAAAGATGAAGACATTAATCTGACTGTAAATAATGATAATTCATCATTCAAGAAATTCAACTCATATGGTAACTACTTATCCAAAATTTGTTTATGCAAATTTTAGCACTCACTCTGTACATTGAGATATCAGGAAAAAAAGGATTATCAGTGGTCATGAATAAAGGCAAGTATTACTGAGCAGGGCTATTATATGGTGTAGCTTAAATGTGGCACAAGGCCGAAAATATGGAGCTTTTCAGTCATAACTGATTTAGCATGCCTGCTAATTATTGCACAACATCAGTGCCCTCACTGCTATTATATGTAGAATAAAATTTGTTTCAAGGGAGTACTGAAAAGCTCTCAATTCAACCCATTTCCCCAAATCTGACCAAATACTAAACTTTTTTTAAATGACTTCTTGATTAGGCTGAGGAATTTTTATCACCCTTTGTATAAATATTACTTAAATAGCAATTACAAAGACAACTCAATTTATTGTTTTTCCCTTTGTACATTTTTACAAAAATTAAATTGTTTCAAAACCATCTTTTTTATTATAACAATTTTTTAAGCCTTACATTTTTTCCTGTCTTTGCACCAATACAAATAATTTAAATTCAACATAATTTCTTTTTATGTTAAATAATGAACATGAATGTCTTTTTAGGTAGTTCTTATTGCTGCTATAATTATTGCTTTCAAACTTGTATCTCCCAAAATATCAAACAGGTAAAGATTTAAATAAAATCTTTTTCTTTTCCAAACAAGACAGATTTTTAGTGCTGATCTTTTGAGACCTTCAGAATGAACTATTCTTTTACTGTCAGTATTCCACAAAAGAGCTATCACATGTTACAATCGTCATAATTCTTCAAATGAATTAGTTTTCAAAACATACAATGTACCATCCCTTTCTTTCTATAAACTATATTTACTTTATTCAAATGTACTCATCCCCACAATAGATGCAATGTTAATAAAAGAGTAATGTTTTGTTCAACAAAACAAAACTACTTTATTGTAAACAACTAATCTATAAATAGTGAAGACATTGGGTATCTATAAATATTTGTATGAGACTAAAAAAGGAAAGGAATCCTGTAAATAGGTAACTTACCTGGTCTTTGACAGAAAATTGGCTGCGTCACACCATAAAATTTCATGCTTCGACCAGGTGGCGTTAAAGGAACTTCATAGAGAATATTATAGACATAGCATTCAAGAGGTAGTTGTTTTTGTGATTCTGTCGTAACAGCTTCATGGAGCTGTTTCAAGTACTGTTGGGCAGAATAGACAAATGGTAACTGAGAAATCAATGCCACACATTTTGTTACATAGAGCTTGTCATTGTTGATGTCATAGATGGTGTGTGGGCGTGGCCTGGCCTTGCGGTGTGTCATGGGGCTCTGTTCAAGAGAGGATTCCAATTCTGGGTATAAAGTGCGCGACTGTGCATTGCTCAATTCAGCATGATGCATGGCTTGCAGAGTTTGCATAGCCGCACAAATCTGGTCATTTTGGACTTCCTCGTAAAATACATATGCAGCACCATATGTGCGTGAACCGTCCTCTTTGGTAATAATAAAGGAATGGAAGTGTGGATTCTTTTGTTGGCTCTGTGTACGGAATGAAAGACCCCTTGGAAGACAGAGCTGGAAAATAAGAAAAGAAAAAATTTCAATAGTCTTGAGATCCAGAAAAAAAAAAAAAATAAAGAATTACAAGTAGCATTTTAGATACCATTTTTATGGTTGGCAGCTTCCATTGTATTATAATGGCTTCTAGAAGTTTTTCTTTGCATTGAGTCCTATATATTTTGGAATTAGCCAAAAACAGTTGCATAAACATACAAACAACAAATCTAACAACATTTGAATGTACTGGGAAAAAAAACAAAACAAAAAAAAAACAAAAATGAACACATTTAACAGAGAACCAAGTTTGATCTTCACTAGGTGCCAATAAAAAATTCAACATTAAATAACCCAAAAAGTGTTGACATCATAAAATCAACCAACTTCACCTCTTACCCAATGTTGACAATTACTTCAACTAGTATAACAATACTCAAAACAGCTGTTTATTCCATTTTAAAAAATAAAGTAAAACTAATTAGATAATCAATTTTTTTTTTACTTATCAAAACAACTATATATTTCCTCACCGGTAGCACAACTCTGAGCCATAAAACACCAAGTTGTACTACACATGAAAAAAATACGTATATTCATTAATATATAGTTTATAGCGCTGTTATATTGCATTGAGCACTATTTTATTAACACCAGCGCTCAATGTGCAATAATATATATATATATATATATATATATATATCTATTAAAATATGATTGCATTTATTTTTATAATCAACAAATTTGAATCAAATAATTTCTAAATAATAAAATTTATTTTAGTAAAAAAAAAAAAATTAACTTAATATTTCTCATGATTTGATTAAATATTATGTTGAATCCTTGTATAAGCGGAACCTAGATTGATAATAAAAAGCAAAACTAGAATTTTAATTTGATTAAATACAATTGTTTATTGCTTTTCTTATAGGCCAATTGATGATCTTATAACTGTCTGTAAATAGTAATAATTTGTAAGATTCAGCAAAGAATTATGTTAAAATATGTCAAGGAACTGCCTGGGATGATGCCTCTAGAAGGCTTTTGGTAGAGATCACATTCCACTTGTGATGTTGATTTTTATAGGAATATATTTGAGAATAGAGTTGCATATAAACAAAAATAAGCATAAAAAATAATCATAGTAAAAATTTCAGTTCACATTTTTAACTGTAAAATGTTTACAATTCATATAATCCACTTTAGTTGTCTTTGTGCCTCTCCAGTCACTATCAACAAGTACATATCTGACTAAGAACAGCTGCCAAAAGCAGCCATTTCCACAATTCTTGCTATAACAAGTGGCTTACAAATGCTAAACAAGAACTTTACTTGTAAGCATAAAATGAGTGCAGTCTGCCCAGATGTTTTTCTAGGCATAAAAAAGAAAAGGAAAATACACAATCATGTAGGTTTTATTCTAAAGACTAATATACAAAATACCTATTAACATGACATAATATAAGAACATAGTGTCATTCACTGTGAATTATATATATATATTTTACAAATACAAATGTGCGTGTCATCTCTCACACATGAGGGGAAAATTCCATTTATATAGATGATAAAGAGAGGATCATTCATTAAAAAAAAAAAATAGGGAGAGATGACATAACAGGGAATTTGTTATTGTTTTATAATGTATGGTTGTCAACAAAAGGGAGAGCTCAACATGCAAATTACAAATTGGAGATAACAAAATTAAACAAGTGCAAAAACTTAAATATCTAGGAAATGTTTTAACAAAGGATGGAAAATGTGACACCAAAATTTGAAAGCATATTGGGATAGCGAAAGTAGTCTTTCAAATGCTAAGCAAATTATTAAGAAACATGAAAATTGGAAACAAAGAAAAGAGTACTGAACTGCAATATCAGTAGTCCTATAGAGCTGTGAATGCTGTACAGTCTCATCACAGATGGAGAAGAGATTTGAGGTAATAGAAATGTGGTTCTACAGAAGGATGTTGAGAATACCATAGACAGAACATGTGAGAAATGACAAAGTTTTTGAGAAAATAGAAACAGTAATAACAGTTCTATGCAATATCAAAAAGAGTTGAAATTTCTAGGACACACAATGTGAAAGAGGACTAGGAAAATTTGACACTCATAGGACATATTGAAGGTAAGAGAGATAAAAGAAAGCAGCACATGACTTATCTGGTGAGCTTGTGTAAATGGCTGACAGAACAGAGATTGGGATATATAGCAAAAAGATAAACTTTACTAAGGGCTAGAAAGGACAGGAAGTGGTGGAGAGCCATGATCATCCAATTTCTGAAGTGACAGCACATAGAAGAAGAGTGTTATTTATCCAAATGCTTTATATTTTATTATAAGAGATCATATTTCTATCATACACAATCTTTTTCCTATCTTTACTAATAGTACTGAGCCAATGTAATGACACCATGAAAACAGTTACAAATTAAGAAAAAAAAAAGGCTTTAATGGGTGTCCTTCATATACTCATGTACCAAATACAAGTGTCAACATGATTAAATTAGTTTCTACAATTTATGGTGCCTGTTTGGTATGGTACCCTTATTATTTTACAAATAATTTTTTCCACAGCAGAATTATTTTGTCTTAGAAATAAAAAAAAAAAAAAAATTCCCCATTTATTTTATAAATTGAAATATCCTCCGCTAGCATGATTATTCCAGATGGCATTTGTATTTGGTACAAAAAGTACTATAAGAACTGATACCTATTATTCTCAATGGTATATCATAGCATATTTTGAAATTTTGAATAAAAATTAAAGACAAAAAAAAGACTGGTCGTATTATACACAAGTAGATTTTTTGGAAATTGAAATAGCAAGATTGAAAGATAAAATATGTTTATATTTAGATTTTCATTTTTTTTTATAAAGATTTCTCTCTATATTTTTAATGAAAAACAATATTTATTTTATTTTCATAGCTTATTAATAAACAGAAATATAATAAAGTCATATCAAACAGAAAAGTATGATAGATTAATTGACACTTTAAAATGTATTTGGTTAGCAACTTTCCCTGAAAATTCAAAAATAACTTTTGAAACTGAAAATAGGAGAATAAACATGCAATGACTAAACATCCAACTTATTTCTGTTCTTTAATATTGTGAGAAATTAAATATATTTTAATGAAATTTATGTATGGCATTGAGATTTTAATGGATAATATGGTACAAATTTAAAAAAAAAAAGTTTACATAAGGATGACTGTACTACAAGGATATAATTTATTCCCTGTTTTTAGGTTAAGAAACACAGAAATACATAAAAAAAAATATGGTAATACCATTTTTCATATATTCAATAGAATGTGTGCAAATCCATTTCTTCTCCCTACAAACTGTTGGTTAAATAGCAAGGCTGATTGGGATTTTCAGTTTTGGAAGACAAGCTAGTCAAAGAGAGAAGGATACCTTTGAATTCAAACTCCCTGCAAACATAGAACAGGGATCAGCAACCTTTTGCTAATTAGGTGCCAACTTAGGGTTTTAAAATCATTCAGTGTGCCATCAGCATACATATTTTTATACAAGTTAAGGTCAATATACCAGTTCTACAATATATTTTATGTAGTAATATATAGTATATCTACTTTAGTACATATTAAAATTGAAATGGCTAAATATCTTCTTTTTGTTGTAGTAGTTATTGCTTCAGACTTTGTGATGTCATTTGTGGCTACGTTGGAAATTGCTTGGTATGGCACATGTGGCACACGTGCCGCAGGTTGCCTAACCCTGTTATAGGATACCATAGCAGGGTAAGGCCAATTACTTCACATATCTGACAAACTTGTGGAAGGCCTAGTTACAGTAATGGACTGAAAAAATCAGTTACTATACAAAGGGGTCCTGAAAAGTTATCAACCTAATCAAAATAGTATTAAAAAAAAAAAAGTAATGTTTGGTGATTAGGTCAGATTTTGGAAAGCTGGTTAGACTGAGAACTTATCAATATTCCCTCATATATATATATATATATATATATATATATATATATATATATATATATATATATATATATTTTTATTTTTTACAAGGGCAAATTCATTACAAATACAAAAGGCCTCTAGATTGAAAACATCACAACCATGCTTCACCTATGCTAGGTAGGACTTGTGTTGAGGATGGGATACTACCTACCTAAGTAAAACTCAACTCATTTATGCATTGAGCTCACAAGAGCCACCTTGTCTCTCCAGCTATCATGATTGACAACGTCTTTCCAGTGGCTGATGGCACAATGCTCAATATTTTTTTTACTGTTCAATGATTTGTTCAGGAGTCAGGAAAACAAAAGACCATGATAGAAGAAAAAAGGAAGTCTTTGGAAATGTTTCAACTATGATGGAATCAGCTACTGTCAAGTGGGCAACATAAACTGTTACTTACTTTTTGATTAAAATTACAGAACTAAGTTTGAGGAATTCAAAACTATAAAACTCAAGTTTAAGTAAAAATGAAACCCTATCTTATTTCCAAAGCCTTCACCTGCATCCGCATTGTGACGGGACATGCCATGTCCCATATTAGCCACTTCGGCAACCAGTGGGCCAGTAGAAGTGGAATATTTTCTTCTTAGATCTTCACTTATAAAACCAAAGCCAACAATCACGGTATAGCTAGCATTGGCATATGACCAATAATACAACAGTATTCTGTCAACCATAATACAAAAACGCAATTAAACATTTTGGAAGCTCTTTACATCAAAGGATAGCAAATCACCATCAATAAAATTTATATTTGCCTCAGTGTGTATGTGTTAAAATGCCTTTGAATGTTAAAGTCATTTTAGGCACATGGCATTAAAATCTATTCTACTCCTCAAGCATGTGAACCTACGTTCATTTCAACCCCTAAAATATTAACAATATTACAGCATAAGTTGTATGACTTTTACAAGCTTTCAAAAAACTGTCTGTATAAGATTGGAAATTACTGTACAGAACATTATAGGATTTTATGTTCCTCACAGGAGGAATGTTATTTTGAGCAATAATTTTGACAAATGACAATCAGTTTTATTTCCCTTTCTTTCTCTCAACTCTTATATCAAATAAAGCAATAACAACAATGCAAAGCTTCATTAGTATGTTTCATAACCAAGGTAAACCACATATTTTGAAGACTATGAAAATATTTGGTTTTAATGTTCTGCGTTGGTCTCTTGGCTGTGATTGCTATAAATATTTTTTTCTTACAACTGTTCACTTATGAAATTTGTTGACTAAGATTTTTTTTTTTTTTTTATGAGAAGCTGATATGAGAAATAAAAGACTTATGACTGACAAGCCCACCTTCCTACACAACAGACATTAACATACATCATCAATATGTGTAATACCCAAATTGTTCAAATGCATATAATACAAGAGATTCACTGGCAGGAAATACATGTATAGTAAAAAAAAAAGAGAGAAGAAGAAAAAAAAGAGAACACACACATATATATATATATATATATATATATATATATATATAAAGTTCTGATTAGGAAGATATGAAAAAAATTCTGATTTTGAAGATTGAAAGAAAATTTGGATATTTGATCATTTATATATATCATATATATATATATATATATATATATATATATATATATATATATATATATATATATAACTAAATTCGGTAAAGCAACGTCCGACTGTGATAGTCAATGTTTGTGATCTAAAATAGGCACCTTTATCCACCCAGGCAAGTTCAAGATGGCAAAATTTATAGTTGGTAATAACACTGACCAAACTCACCTAAAGAGAGGGTAGCCCAATCAGAAAAATGGAAAAAAAAAATAAATTCCACCAGAAATAGTTTTCCAGTGTGAGAAAAAGTGGTCAATATAGTTTTTAAAGATGGAATCCAGATTATGAATGTTGGTATCATTGTTGAAGGCCAGAATGAACTTTTTCCTCTCACCATTGATCATTTGGGAAGACAGTGAGGCTGACACAAACAATTTTAACCTGTTTTCTTTCTAGCTGAATAACTCAAAGGGTTTTTCAGTGATAATTATGAAAAATGGTGTCAAGAGGTTATCTGAAAACCTGGGAAAAAAAAAAACTCAATTAGTCTAGCAGTCGTTTTAGATATTAAACATATTGTGGGATGAACAGTTATTCTGTTATCCCTGTAACAGACACCTGCTCAGGCTTATATGTATTTGTTCAACATCCACAGAGCCCACCTGTGGTTTATACAGCAACTATACTGAGCAGACCTTAGTTACAATTTCTGGGAAAGAGCACGTAATCTGGATTGATCACTAGTGTGAACAACACCAGTGTACTCAAACCCTTGGTCATAAAATTTGTGCCATTGATAGCTTCTGAACAGTTTCATCTACCCAATTTCACTCACTAGACTTGAGTCAACCTATGGTATGGTTTTCAGGCACTTTTCACTTTTCAATAACATCAAGAAGTCACTTTCCTGACAAACTGACCATTCAAGTTCAGTTATTGTTGGAAAGTGAATGTGCTAATCCATTCGGCTACACACACACACTTGCAATATACAATTTTACTGAAATAAGATTTTTTTTCTGCTGATGCTGGTTCATCAGTAGAACATGTCAGAGGAGAAGGTTTCCCAAATTGTCTTATATATTTTCCATTCTGTCAGATTCTCATTCAGCTTTACACACACAAAGTATTTTATTCACCAGTTTATCCCTGACAACTTGGGAAAACCATGAAGCTTTAAGTTGCACTACAAACATAGGTATATGTATATTTATTAATATAAGATTTAAGAAACAGCAAATATATATATATATATATATATATATATATATATATATATATATATATATATAGTATAGTGCTCAATATTAAAATAGAGCATTAATAATATTATATAAAATGATTACTTAACTTAAATATTAATTTTTTTTTTTTGTTTTTTTTCTCCCAATGAAGTTTCTTGGGAATGACCATTCTTCAAGGGGTTCTGCTTTTCAAATGATTTAAATGATAATCATTTAAAAAACAGATGTCCTTGAAAAAATGGTCATTACCAAGAAACTTCGAAGTCTGAGAAAACAACAAAAAATTGATATTAAAGTTAACTAATCTTTTTTATAATATTATATATAACACTTATTGATATACCTAAAATTATAATTTAAGTCAAGATGAAGATAATTTTGTCAAGTGCTTAATAGATATTTACAGCAATAATTATTGTATCATACTTTTGTGGCACAAAGATGAAGGTGTGAGGTTTCTGGCATAGAACATTGAAACATGATTAAGGTGCCATTGCCCTTGGTAGGTTACTTTTGTCCTAGTTTTAAATGACTGGATACTTTGTGGGCAGAACCTGCACAATGGTAATATATTAAAAGAATTAATTAATACTACTCTCTCAAGAGTAGTTTTCAAAAATATACTCATTTATAGGCACCTACTTTCTGTGCAAACACCTCTGCTTTAATACACCATCATCATCATCATCCTTCAACCTTCCTGTAGTTGGTCAGAACTCCATTAACAATCCCTTTCCAAATGGCTCAGTCCTGCATTGCCACTCCAAGATTCCAACACTTTAGTAAATCCTATCAAACATAGATAGATACAAGTACAGCCTTATATGTTCTTTATTGCTTCAGAATATACCAACCAAGAAAATATATTCAAATCTGAGTCATAAAAGTTAAATTTATTTCAAACTCATATCAATGATTCATTATGAATCATTCTTCATAAAGAAATGGCTAATATTACCATTACAATTATCTTCAATTTCTCCACCTACCTCAATGATATTCTAGAGCATATATTTTGTATCAATTAGGCTAAGATACATTTTTTTTTCATTACCTACATGAGGAAGTACAAACTACTTAAATAACCTATACACACCTGCTTTAACCATCCTCCATTGATTGTACCATCCTATTTGCACTCTTCAAAGATCTTAAATTACAAGCTAGCTGGAGATATCCTTTTAGTAAAAACAGTGCTTCCTTAACATATCAAAAATACCTACAAATATACATGGCTTGGAAGTTTCCTTCTTGCACACCACCACCTCAATTAGCTCATTCACATATATAAATAGCAAAAGATGCATTCCAAAAGCTAAGCAAAGTAATCAGAAATAGAAAAAAAAAATTTTTGTTAGTTTTGTGGAGTAGCTGAACACTGCCACAAGATGGACTGGTCTAAGACTATTTAAACAGCACTCTCTCTTACTGGGGGGTGAGTTAATGATTAACTATTTATTACATTAGTCCGTGTTCTCAACAGTGTACCATATTATTCTCTGGAATAAACTACTTATTTTCTATATATGCGTCAACCTTTTCCATTTACAACACAACAGTTAGAAACAAAGGAAAGAGTAATGAACTGTTAAGTAATATCAGTCCTCATATATGGCAGTGAATTCTGAACAATGTCTTCACAGATGAAGAAAAAACTTGAAACAACAGAAATGTGGTTATGCTGAGAATAACAGGGAGTGAACATATGAGTAACAGTGTTTTATAGAAAATGGAACCAAAATGAACACATATATACAGATCAGGAAGAGATAGTTGAATTTACTAAGATATATAATGAGGAAAGAAGGCTAGGATAATTTGATATTCACAGGACAGATTGAAGACAAGAGGGATAGAGGAAAACAATGCATCACCTACCTAGTGAGCAGGGTTTAGGAGATATAAAAAGAAAAAAATTATTAAGAGCTACAAAGGACAGGAAATTGTGGAGAGCCACGATTGTCAAAATCCTGAAGAGACATAGAAGAACAATTTTGGAATTTAATAAAAATTATAATATTGCTAGGCCCACTCAATTTTTAAGATGTACATCTCATACTAAATTTGAACAGGAAAGATGGAAACGACCTGTGAGCAAAAGGCAACTATTTTGTACAAGATAATGATCCAGTTCAGCAATTATTTTTAAAAAGATCAATCCTCCTATATGCCATTGAATGTTGGACAAGTTCCTCACAGATGGAGAAGAGATTTCAGATAACAGAAGTGACTTTACAGAAGTATGTTGAGAATACCACAGATGTAACATGTGAGCAATAGGAAAGTTTTAAGGAAAATCAAAGCAAAAAGGACAGTTTGAATAAAAAAAAAAAGACAACTGAAATTTTTGGGACACATAATAAAGAAAATTTGAAGAATTTGACACTCATAGGACATATGAAGGCAAGAGGGGTAGAGGAAAACCTGCCAAACAAGGTTTTGTAGATGGATAGCAGAACAGAAACTGGGAGGAATAGTAAGGCGACAAACATTGCTTAGAGCTACAAAAGATAGGAAGTTGTGGAGAGCCATGATGAGCCCATGTCCTGAAATAAAAGAAATAAATTGCTCAGTCAGAATTTCTGAGATCAGGAGATATTATTTATGCCATTTACATGCAAACTTGGGTCAATTTCACAAGATTCTCTGAATTTCTAATATAGAACAAGAACTTCCCAGTTGACTAGCTGAGGGAAGAAGAGATGGATTCAGACCTTTCCTAAAGGCAATGGCATGAAAGTGAATGCAACAG